CCCATAAGTGGCCCCACAAGAGCCCCATAAGTGGACACAGCTGCCCCATAAGTGGCCCCACAAGAGCCCCATAAGTGCACACAGCTGACCCATAAGTGGACACAGCTGCCCCATAAGTGACCCCACAAGAGCCCCATAAGTGAACACAGCTGCCCCATAAGTGAACACCGCTGCCCCATAAGTGACCCCACAAGAGCCCCATAAGTGGACACAGCTGCCCCATAAGTGACCCCACCTGCCCCATAAGTGAACACAGCTGACCCATAAGTGGCCCCATAGCAGACCCATAAGTGAACACAGCTGCCCCATAAGTGAACCCACCTGCCCCATAAGTGATCACAGCAGCCCCATAAGTGGACACAGCTGTCCCATAAGTGAACACAGCTGACCCATAAGTGGACACAGCTGCCCCATAAGTGACCCCACCTGCGCCATAAGTGAACACAGCTGCCCCATAAGTGACCCCACCTGCGCCATAAGTGAACACAGCTGCCCCATAAGTGAACACAGCTGACCCATGAGTGACCCCACAGCTGCCCTATAAGTGACCCCACAGCTGCCCCATAAGTGACTCCACAACAGCCCCATAAGTGGCCCCATCTGCCCCATAAGTGACCCCGCCTGCCCCATAAGTGACCCCACAGCTGTCCTATAAGTGACGCCACCTGCCCCATAAATGACCCCACAGCTGCCCCATAAGTGACCCCAGCAGCCTCATAAGTGACCCCACAGTTGCCCCACAACCAACCCCCACCTGCCCCACAAGTTCCCCTAGGATAGCCCGGCCGTGCCCCATAGCTGCCCCATAAGTACCCCATGTTCTGTCCCTACGTGTCCCCATTGTCAATGCCCCCAGTGTGACCCCATGACCTCTGACCCCATGACCTCACTGACCCCCATGACCCTTCTTACCCCATAACCCCTCTGTTGTTTCTCCCTGACCCCGTGACCCCTATGACCCCTGACCTCTGACCCTGTGACCTCCCTGACCCCGTGACCCCTCTTACCCCATGACCCCTCTTTCTGCTGTTCCCCTCTGACCCCCGTGGCCCTATGACTTCTGACCCCCGTGACCCCTGACCCCGTGACCCCTGACCCCGTGACCCCTGACCCCGCAGAGCGTGACGGGGTTCGGCCGGCAGATGATCGAGCGCACGCAGCAGCTGGTGGAGACCCATTTCTGCGTGCAGAACGGCTACCCGGCCAACGCCAAGGTGGGGGCTGTGGGGCGGGGGGGCGGGGGTCCTATGGGGCACAGGGTCGCTATGGGGCGGGGGGGGGGCCTATGGGGGGGGGGGGCTATGGGGC